AAGAAGTTCTTACAAGCTTCCTTTGTCTTGAACTCCATCATTACCCACAAACCACCCACATAACGGATTTTAAAATCTTCAAAACCCTCATCAAAGCACAACATACGAAGGTTAGGTAATGTATTAAAGTCTCTAGCCTTAACTAGACAATCTAGTTTCCTTTTCTCCACAATGAAGTCTCCAGAGAGTATTTCAATAACATCAGTAGCCGCATCTTTACCCCTTTTGTCTATAGATGGACCTTTAACCACACTACCATACAAATTCATAGGATTTTCTTATTTTTCAATCTTAGACAGGACTGCATGATGAATAAATAAGGGTTCTGATTTCTTAAAACGGGGAATAGAAGCAAAAAAGTTATAATACCTAAACCACAGATCACATAGTTGTTTAACCAAATGTGTAACAATTGATAATTTTCCGTCATTAATTGTTACTAGGTGTTAGGTTCGACTCATAAAGACAAAAACTTCCCATATTGAAGGATAATATGGAAAGTTGAGTCGAAAATAAAGTAATCAAAAAGTTAAAGTGGTTAGCGTATTTGGAAAATATGCGACCTAATGATCCCAAAAATTAAAAGCGTCGAGAAAATCTAATTCTGATTGGAAGAGTTATGATTTATGACGAATAGAAACCAACCACATTAATGACGCTATTAACGTCAAAAAATAGCAAAAAGAGAGCAATTGAGTTTCGGCTAACACTACACAAAGGAAATTTGTAGTAAAGCATGAGATAAGAACTTGAGAAGAAAGAAATGCAAAACTAGAATTCGTATGAAGGAGATACGATTTTTATAAAATATAAAATTGTGGGTTAAAAATGAAAGTTAAAATTAGAAGATGCAACCTAAAGGAAAGTTGTAGTTCTAGGAAAGAGCTACAAAAATATATAGAGAGAGTAAGAAACAAAGTTCATAGGAAGAAAATATGAATTTTTAAAAAGAGTTAAAGGGTGCACATCGATGTGATCGCCATGCCCGTCGTGTACATCTGATCCCCAAATTCATCGGAGATTTGGAAACATGAACCACCAGAAGGGTGACACGTGGCAAGATTTGGATGGGCCGCGAAGCGAGTGCACACCGCCAAGCAGAGTGCCTGATGCGCACCATCACTATAAATAAGGGTGCTTACTTCCTGGTTTTTCATCTCAAACCAACCTCCAAACTTCCTCTCTATACTTCAATACCCTCTCGAAGGCAAGAAACTCCGGTTGCAACAGTTCGGACGCTCCTTGATACGCTATTAGTGTGAGTTCACGACCCCTATTTTACTGTTTTTAAAACGTTTTCAGGGGGAAAACATGCTTAACAAATGATTTTATAAAAATATTTATATTATAAATATTAAGTCATTTTATTATAAGCAAGATACCTTAGGATAGTATAACTGTAGATATTATGCTTAGATTTAAGCTATGATCTGTGTCTAAAAGATATGATGTCCGATAATTTAGGAGTAGGTACTACCTAGATGTTATAATGGCCAAATCCTACGAAACTTTAAGTACCTAGGAGTTATGTTAGACAAGATTTAAAATATGCACTGTACTTAATTGTTACGCTGCCCAAATATCGTGTTAAAATAACGATAATTAAGGGTGTGTGTATATAT